TTATGATACATGACATAAATTCATACCATATGCATTATGTGACATGAATATGCAAGAAAAAAATTATATGTCTATGTGATAAAGGTATAAAAATAATATGTCTACGTGATACAAATTATGTGAATGGTGAAAGCCCATGTTATGTAGATGAGAACTATAGGTATAGTTGGCATGCCAAGGGTAGAGGGTCTACGCGGTCCTTCGGGATATATATATATATTCTTTGGAACATGTGTGAAGTCTTGTGAGACACATACTTGATCCCTAGTATATGTATATGATTCTTAAGGAATGATATGTGGTCCTTTATGGACATTATTATATGGCACTACGGTGCAATTCTACGCGGCACTCCGGTGCAATTCTACGTGGCACTTCGGTGCAATTATACGAGCTGTGGTGACAGCATAGTGCACAACCTCATAATACTCTCATACCTTAGGTTCTCAGGATGATACCATGGGCTAATGAACTTAATAAGGTGAACTTATGAATGTGAATTTGATAAGTATATGTGTAAGAAACATGGTTCTGGTTATTACATTGTTTACATACATCTTATCATTGCAACCCATCTTATTTTGGCAATTCCTTTATATTTATTGATATTATTATATTGCCTCACTAAGTCGATGACTTAGCGTGTGAGTGTTTCACACGTAGGATCCGATAAAGTAGACGATCGAGGTTAAGCAGCTGGACAACATTACTCATGTAACTATCAGATCAAAAGCAACTTAATCAGTAGGTCATTTTCTTATGTAAATGGATGTTGACATGTAACTAAAGGGTTAAGTTGTGTATGCTCTAAGTATTTTGATAAACTTGTATTAATATATGTATATTATTGTATTTTTAATAAAATAAGCTCAAATGTTTTATCGGTTTTTTTAGTATTGTTTTGTTTAGTCAATGTGACATCCTGGACTCGTATCCGGGTCAGATATGAGTTGATGGTGTTACATTTAATGGTATCAGAGCTATGGTTTAGCCGATTTTAGGCATAAATCAGAGTTTATAGAGTCTTTAAATGGGATACATGCCAACAAATAGTGAGAACTTCTGATCTGGTATAGTATGAGTATGTTGTTTTGCTAATAGAACAATGTGTTTATTTTATTAGATGTCCGAACATAGTAGCTCCCGAAGTGAAGCGGGAGAAGATAGGCCTGCTGAAAGCAGTAATTCACCTGCCCTGGCCAGGCAAGGTGAAGAACAGGCATCTCAAGGAGTGCCTGTGCAAGATCAGGATACGTTCTTCAGAACGTTAGACGCTATTTTGACGCGTCTTCAACCTCCTGCTCCACCAACTCAAAGAATGAATGTAGCAAGAGTTGAGAGGTTTAGGAGCTCCCGAATTTAAGGAAGAAGCCGAGGAAGGTCCGGTTGCAGCTGATCTTTGGCTAAATGATTTGAAAATCATGTTGGATGGTCTTCACTGCTCTGAAGTGGAGAATTTAGATGGAGTTGTCTCGTTGCTGAGGGGTCAGGCGAGAATATGGTGGACGAACGTCACCATGAGGATGTCTAGTGACCAGTTGACTTGGTTTTTATTCTTAGATGAATTTAAAAACAAGTACATTGTAGATTAATTTATTCGGCAGATGAAGCAGGAGTTTTTGAATTTGAAATAGATGAACCGCTCTGTATATGAGTATGAATGTGAGTTCAACAAGTTGAGTAGGTTTGCATCCGAGCTTGTGCCTACTGAAAAAGAGGCTTGTGAATGGTTTGTGGAGGGCTTACGCCCTAGATTGAAAGAGATGCTGATAGTATTGAATTTGTCCTTGTTCCAAGAGGTAATCAATCGTGCCAAGGCTCTTGAAAGAGCTCAGAATGAGATATTCTGGGATTTTAAAGTTCAGACATCAAAGAGAACGGGTGCTTCTTCTAGCTCAGCACCATCAAAAAGAGGAAGAGACTCAGGATTTCGATCACAAGCTAGATCAGAATCAGTTGCATCGTCTGCTAGGGGAGCAAGTCAGGCAAAACCTAGACAGACGCAGTCAGTGGGATCTGGTGTTGGGAGATCTACTCCGAGTTAAGCGAGACAGTGTCAGCACTGTGGGAAAAACCATTATGGGGCTTGTCGGATGGCTGCTGGGACTTGTTTTCGATGCGGAGATGCCAGACATTTTATCCGGGATTGTCCATTGATGATTGGTGAGCCTGCACCATCTGAAAGAGTTGGTTCTGCCTCACAAAGAGGATGAGGAAGAGGTAGAGGAAGGAACCAGTCTGAATCCTCTACTCAACCTGAAGTTTGGTCAACCGCACGGGTGTATAATCTAAAGACAAGTGAAGACCGTGATGACCCTGATATTATAGCAGGTACTTTTCAGCTGTACAATAAATTAGTCTTAATACTGATTGATCCGGGTTCTAATTATTCTTACATTACAAGTAAGTTAGTAAATGAATTGAGGATTCCCTTAGAAGCTACGAGTAATGAGATTATAGTAACCAATCATTTAGGTCATAGTGCTCGGGTGAATAAAGTCTGTAAGGGATGTCCCATAAAGGTTCAGGGAATTGAATTCCCTGCTAATCTGATGGAATTACCCTTTTACGAGTTTGAAGTGATTCTGGGGATGGATTGGTTGTTCCGTTACTATGGAGATGTTAATTGCATATTGAAAAAGATAGCCCTGAAAAGTCCAAGAGGAACAGAGATAAGTGTGAGTAGTGAAAGGTTTAATCCTTTAGCAAATGTAATGTCAGTAATGTCAGTTAAGAAGCTATTGCTATAGGGATGTCAAGGATTTCTTGCAAATGTGATAGATTTAAGAGCTATAGAGAAAGGGCTAGAGGAGATTCCAATAGTTCAAGAATTCACTGATGTTTTCCTGGCTGAGTTGCCAGGATTACCTCCAGATAGAGAGGTAGAATTTTAAATTGAAGTAATGCCAGGAACCGCTCCAATTGCAATGGCACCTTATCAGATGGCTCCGAAAGAATTACAAGAGTTAAATATTCAATTGCAAGAGTTGTTAAAAAAGGGATTTATTCGACCAAGTGTATCACCTTGGGGAGCTCCGGTGTTATTTGTTAAGAAGAATGATGGATCAATGCATCTCTGTATTGATTATCGACAGCTTAATAAGGTGACCATCAAGAACAAGTATCCCCTTCCACGCATTGATGACTTGTTTGATCAACTAAAAGGAGCTTTGGTATTTTTGAAGATCGATCTACGTTCGGGTTATCATCAATTGAAGATTCAGGAGAAAGATATTCCGAAGACGGCTTTCAAAATGAGATATGGTCATTATGAATTCATCTTAATGCCATTCGGAGTAACGAATGCACCAGCTGCTTTCATGGATCTCATGAACATGATTTTTCAGCCATATTTGGACCAGTTTGTTGTTGTCTTTATTGATGACATACTGGTTTACTCAAAGTCCATTGAAGAGCATAGCGCACATTTGAGGCTAGTTTTGCAAATTCTCAGGGATAAGAATCTCTATGCGAAATTGTCCAAATGTGAATTCTGGCTAAATGAAGTAATTTTCTTGGGGCATGTGATCTCGAAAGTTGGGATTAGAGTGGACCCTCAGAAGGTTAAAGCTATAATGGACTGGGAAGTTCCAAAGAATGTATCTGAAGTTCGGAGTTTCCTTGGACTTGTCGGTTATTATCGAAGATTCGTTAAGAATTTTTCGATGATAGTGCTGCCTTTAACAAAGATAATGAGAAAGAATGTACCATTTGTTTGGACTTCTGAATGTCAATAAAGTTTTGAAGCTTTAAAGAGAATTCTGACAGAAACTCCAATATTGGTTCAACCGGAATCTGGCAAGAATTTTGTAGTATACAGTGACGCATCCCATAACGGGTTGGGGTGTGTATTAATGCAAGAAGGGAAGGTGATAGCGTATGCATCGAGGCAGTTGAAACCACATGAAAAGAATTACCCACCCATGATTTAGAAATGGCTGTCGTGGTGTTCGCTCTCAAGATTTGGCGTCATTATTTGTATGGAGAAAGATGTTACTTGTATACAGACCATAAAAGTCTGAAGTTCCTGATGACTCAAAAAGAGTTGAATTTGAGGCAACGTAGATGGGTATAGTTCTTAAAAGATTATGATGTGATGATTGACTATCATCCCGGAAAGGCTAACGTGGTAGCCGATGCTTTGAGTAGAAAGACGTTTACAACTTTACAAGCTATGGATGCAAGATTATCTTTAACGGGAGACGGTGGTCTTTGTGCAGAGTTAACACTTAAACCAGCATGGTTGGAACGAATAGGCGAATTGCAAAGTAAAGATGAAACGTGTTTGAAAAGAATTGAGCAAGTAAAGAGTAAGGAGATTAAAGACTTTGAGGTTAAGTCAGATAGAAATTTGTATTATAAAAGAAGAATTGTAATACCCGAAAATGAAAATTTGAAGAAAGAAATATTAGCAGAGGCTCATTGCAGTCTATTAACGATGCACCCAGGTGGAACCAAGATGTATATGGACGTGAAAGATCGATTTTGGTGGTCAGGGATGAAGCGAAGCATCACTGAATTTGTGTCTAAGTGTTTGATATGTCAACAAGTCAAAGCTGAGCATCAAGTTCCGTCAGGATTATTGCAACCACTTTACATTACTCAATGGAAATAGAAAAATGTTACGATGGATTTTGTTTTGGGGTTACCCTTGACTCCGAAAAAAAAGGAATCAATCTGGGTAATTGTTGATCGATTAACTAAGTCAGCGCATTTCCTTCCGGTTAGAACAGATTTCTCTATGGAAAAGTATGTGGAGCGGTATATTAGAGAAATTATTAGATTGCATGGAGTGCTTGTTTCCATAGTCTCTAATCGAGACCCTCGATTCACTTCTAGATTCTGGAAATCTTTGCATGGAGCGTTAGGAACTCGTTTAAACTTTAGTACGGCTTTTCATCCTCAGACTGACGGGCAATCAAAGAGAACTATTCAGATATTGGAAGATATGTTGAGAGCATGCGTAATGGAATTCAAAGGATTATGGGAAAAGTATTTACCGCTGGCAAAGTTCGCTTACAACAATAGTTATCAGTCTAGTATAAAGATGGCCCCATATGAGACATTATATGGGAGAAAATGTCGTACTCCATTAAATTGGTATGAACTCAAAGATCGAAATGTTCTTGGTCCGGATTTAATTCAGGATGTATAAAAGAAAGTTCGAGAAATTCAGCATATCCTCAAAGTGGCCTTTGATCGGCAAAAGTCCTATTCTGATCTTAAAAGAAGAGAGATTGAGTTCGAGGTTGGAGATAAAGTTTTCCTTAAAGTATTTCCTTGGAAGAAAGTATTACGTTTTGGTCGGAAAGGAAAGTTAAGTCCTAGATTCATTGGGCCATATGAAGTTGTTAAGCGTATAGGACCCGTGGCATATCAGTTATCCTTGCCACCAGAAATGGAGAAGATCCATAACGTCTTCCATGTGTCCATGTTACGAAGATATATGTCTGATCCCTCTCACATTATTACACCAGAACAAATAGAAGTCCAATCGTATATGACATATGAAGAAGAACCAGTGAGAATATTGACTTTTGAAGTCAAACAGTTAAGGAATAATACGGTTCCGTTGGTCAAGGTTCTTTGGAGAAATCACAAGGTAGAAGAAGTCACGTGGGAACGTGAAGAAGATATGGGACTTCAATATCCCCATCTGTTCGTACAATGAAAATTTGAGGACGAATTTTCTTAAGGGAGGGAGATTTGTAACATCCCCATACCGGGTTTATGATTAAATTATGAAATTTTAATAGTTAGTGATCAAAGTTGATAAATTGAAAGTTAAAGGAATTGATTGAAATATTTGGTGTACGATTAATTAGCAAAGCATGGGGAACTAAAGGGGCAAATGAGTCTTTTGACAAGAAAATAATTAAATGTTTCTTAAGGATATTTAATAAACCACGTGGAAAGCTAATGAGAGAAACAAGGTTCTGGATATTTCTTTCTTCTTCATTCTCCTTTTCTGCCGTGAAGACAAGCTAAAAGTGAGTTTTCTTGTGATCAAATTCTTGATGAATTTAAGGTTGCTTAATGATCCTTAGTTGATAACTAAGCTTAAGGAAAGCTTAGATTATCTTAAAACCATACGATGAGAAGAATATGAAGAATCAAAGAAAGAAAGTAGAAAAGTGAAATCTTGGATTAGAGTTCCTAATAAGAATTAGAAGTGGGATTTGACTTGTCATAAAGCTATTTAAGAGGTATGAAGTGTTAGAATTCAAATTAGAACATGTTGGAATTTGGGTTAGATTCTTAAACTCTACATGGAGAATTGGATTTTTAAGTTTTAAAAGTATGTAATGGATAATAATTAGTTTAAGTAAGAGTATGCAAGTTAAGGATACAAAAAGAGGGGAAATATAAAGTGTTAAGTAGACTAAGAAGAGATTTTCGTGCTAAAATAACAATTCTGGGCAATGTGCATCGATACACATTCATTGTGCACCGATGCATCAATGATAAATCCCAGAAATTGTTTAAGGTGCATCGATGCATTAATTTAAAAGAAAACCATCGAATGCCATCGATGCATAAGGAGTGCATCGATGCACCCCATTAAATATAAAACATCGAATAAGATTTATGCGTCGATGCATGGTGTAGTGCATCGATGCATACCTCCATTAAAAGATAAAAATGGCTTTTCTTTTAGCCTAAGAAATGATAGTTTAGAATATATTAATTAGTATACTGATAAGTATCAATGAATTACTATGTAGATATCGAGCCTAAACGAGTTCTGGAACAATCGACAAGTATGATTGATCGAGGGAAAGACAAAGAAATCTAGGTGAGTGCATATGCATAGAATGAATATGTATTCTATTCAGTTCTAGACTTGTGATAAGTCTAGATTCAATATTTTGATACATGATCGCATTTCATATTATGATACATGACATAAATTCATACCATATGCATTATGTGACATGAATATACAAGAAAACGTTATATGTCTATGTGATAAAGGTATAAAAATAATATGTCGACGTGATACAAATTATGTGAATGGTGAAAGCCCATGTTATGTAGATGAGAACTATAGGTATAGTTGGCATGCCAAGGGTAGAGGGTCTACGCGGTCCATCGGGATATATATATATATATTCTTTGGAACATGTGTGAAGTCTTGTGAGACACATACTTGATCCCTAGTATATGTATATGATTCTTAAGGAATGATATGTGGTCCTTTATGGACATTATTATATGGCACTACGGTGCAATTCTACGCGGCACTCCGGTGCAATTATACGTGGCACTTCGGTGCAATTATACGAGCTGTGGTGACAGTATAGTGCACAACCTCACAATACTCACATACCTTAGGTTCTCAGGATGGTACCATGGGCTAATGAACTTAATAAGGTGAACTTATGAATGTGAATTTGATAAGTATATGTGTAAGAAACATGGTTCTGGTTATTGCATTGTTTACATACATCTTATCATTGCAACCCATCTCATTTTGGCAATTCCTTTATATTTATTGATATTATTATATTGCCTCACTAAGTCGATGACTTAGCGTGTGAGTGTTTCACACGTAGGATCCGATAAAGTAGACGATCGAGGTTAAGCAGCTGGACAACATTACTCCTGCAACTATCAGATCAGAAGCAACTTAATCAGTAGGTCATTTTGTTATGTAAATGGATGTTGGCATGTAACTAAAGGGTTAAGTTGTGTATGCTCTGAGTATTTTGATAAACTTGTATTAATATATGTATATTATTGTATTTTTAATAAAATAAGTTCAAATGTTTTATCGGTTTTTTTTTAATATTGTTTTGTTTAGTCAATGTGACATCCTAGACTCGTATCCGGGTCGGATACGAGTTGAGGGTGTTACAATACATGGGCTAATACATAGACTTTAAAGAGAGTAAATAAATCAATTGATATGATACGATGTGTGTTTTGTTGCAAATGATATACGTGTTCCATAATGTGTATAGGAATGTTTAGTATATGTTTATATGTTAAAAGGAATTAGTGACATGTGTACATGAATTAATAAGAGATAATAACAAATACACTATATGTGATATGTACATTTGATAATATGAAATATGTTATAGAAATTACATGATGATATGTTTATTCATTGGTATAGTGATATATGTGTTATATGATGAATATATGGTAAATAAAAGTGATTAATGATAGTATTTGCAGATGTATGCCGTTTGTTTATATGAAATGGTATATGGTTATATTATATGTTTTATATGCCTCACTAAGTCATCAACTTAGCGTGTGATTGTTTCACACGTAGGTTTGGAAAGCGAAAAGAGAAGTAAAGAGGAACGAGACAGGTCAGTTCTCCTTACCGAATATCAGATCAAGAATGTAGATCGAATTACATGTATTTTGTTAGAAATTTAGTTGGCGTGTAATAAAAAGGATTTGTATTAGATACGCTCTGATCGAGTTTTGGAAATGTTTTAAACATATATATGTAAATGGTAAATGTATAATGATGAAACCTTGGATTTTTATGAATTTATACGTATTTTACGGAAGTACTGTAGCAGGGGAATCGGTTCCCCTTTGACATTTTGGAAAAATTTTAACATTCGGGTATTGTTCACGGTATTGTTCATCACTGTTCATACGGTATTGTTCACTGTTCATACCATATTTTACTGTTCATAAAACATATATTTTCTTAAATTGGTTATAACAAACATGATTCAACAATATATTATCGTATTTTCTTAAAAAGAGTTCAAATGTTCTATTATTTTGCAATAATCAAGGTTTTGAAATGTCAATGTGACATCTCGGACTCGTATCCAGGTCGGATACGGGTTGGGGTGTTACAAGGGATGTGTGATTGTATTCATGTAATAGAAAGAGGCTACTATACGTCACCAAAATGATGATGCTTCTTAGAAAGACCGCTCCAAGCAAAAAATGATTGAGCTTAAGGAGTTGGTGGAAAAATCACATGAAGATCAGATTAGGTAAATTACTAAGATGATATTTGTTAATTTGACGATGTGTATTTTATCTATTTTTTCATCTCAATTTTATAAATTTTTGTCAGTGTGTATAGTTTATTCATGAAACTATAAGCATGAATTAATGAATAGTGATATTTCTATAAGTTTGATTAAAAATGAAGAAGTCAACACGAGGCACAAACGACAATTGAAATAAGAGCGAGTGACACATAAAAGGCCGAAATACATTCTAAGTTTGTCCAAAAGGTGTTAAATGACGAAAGTCGCAAGTTGAGGGAGGATCTAGAAAAAAGCACTGAGGGAGAACGAGGAGTTCCATAGTAAAAAAAAAGCCAAAAACAAGTATACTATCATTTGAATTTGTTATTGACGTAACTGTAAAAATTACCATAAAATTTTTTAGAGTTTTTAGTAATGTTGCATGTCCAAAATTATTAACATGAATGAAACAATACAGAGAATGGAGTTTCAAAAAAAGGGACAAAAACATATTAATGATGGTATATTGTGAGACATGGTGGATATATGTGTTATATACGTAGATAGGAGACATGTTATACTTTGTTTTAAGCATGTTATATGATAGCTTATGAGGTATTTAATGCATTTTGACATGATCATATTAAATTTAGGGACTAAAAGATTAAGTAGTTGAAATTAAGGTTGATCGAATATTGTTGTTGAAATCGAAATCATCTTCTATGTAAATATATAATTATCATTTAGGAGATATATATTGAGAATATTCTAGATTAATATAAAAAGAGTAGATGACTAGTGAGTCCAAGAATTTATGCCTCTCATACCTTTCACGCCGAAGGAGAAATCTATGATGACTTTAATGATAAAGATGGAATCCAAGAGTTTGAATCTAATTTGGGGGATGTTTTAGCGGGAATATCATTCCCTCCAATTACTTAGGTATTTATCATTTCTCATGATTTTAGACCAAAATGCTCTTAAAACATTTTTTCTCAAAAATATCCTTATTCTGTCGTTGAATAAAAATATTTTCTATGAAGGTTAAATTGCAAATTTATCCTTAAACTGTTTTAGACTTACAAAAAAATCCACGATTAGAATTTTATATGAAGTTTAGGGGTTAAAATAAAATTAGACCCTTTCATTAAACCTATTTATCTTTTAAATTTTGTAAAAAAATTATATAAATTTTATGAATTTAAATTTTATAAATAAAATATATAAATTAAAAATAGTAAAATTATATATTTTCTATGATTTTTTATACAAATATTTTCATTTGAATATTTAGAATTCAACTTGTTAAGAAACAAATATATAATAATAACAATTTGGTAAAATATACATTCCAATAATCTTTTATTCATTTAACCAAACATTATAATATTACATTTCTGCTAAACAAATCAAACATAACAATGCAACATTCCCAGTAATGTAGTAGAAAATGTTATATTTCGGTAATCTTATTCCTAGAGGTAATGCTACAATCCATGAACCAAACACACCCTAATAATAAAGATGGAATCCATGAGTTTGAATCTCATCTCAACGATTCAAGAACACATTAAGGGCGTGTTTGGTTCAAGTCATCTCACATTAAGGGCGTGTTTGGTTCAAGTCATCTCACATTATCGGGGGAATGGAATGTCATTCCCCCGTTTGGTTGGCAAACATTTCCAACCCCCGGTAATAAGTTATTACCAACAGTGGTATTTTGGAGGTATATTACCGGGAATGTGATTACTCACATTCCCTTAGGTATTGTTATATTCCCTGCGTTTTGGACTAAAATGCCCTTGAATTGTTTTTTCCAAAAATATTATTCTTCTGTCGTTGAATAAAAAAATTATACGAATGTTAAATTACAAATTTATGCTTAAAATATTTTAGATTTACAAAAAAAACTATAATTAGAATTTTATATGAAGTTCATGTGTTAAAATAAAATTTTACCCTTTCATTAAACCATTTATATTTTCAATTTTGTAAAAATAATTATATACATTTTATAAATTTAATTTTTTTAAGGAAAATATATAAATTAATTATAGTAGAATTATAGTAGAATTCAACTTGTTAAAAAATAAATATATAATAAGGACAATATGATAAAATATATATTCTAATAATCTTTTATTCCTTTAATCAAATAGTGTAATCTTACATTCCTGCTAAACGAACCAAACATAAAATACAATATTTTCAGTAATCTTATTCTAACCGATAATCTTATTCTCGTTAGTAATCTTATATTCCGTGAACGAAACGCAGGACATGAGTCTAACCGCATGAGTTTACGCCTATTGACTCCGAGGCACGCCTAATGATAAATATTTGAATGTACTCTAGAGTCTTAGACTACGTGTCAGCTTAGCCATATTAGCTTTGTGTCAGTTAGGCAGTTGTATCTGCCTTGGGTTTTCTAAAACACATTTGGTTAAGTCAGTTTACCATATTACCTCGTATATAAAAGCACGTGCTTGTAATGTGTAAAACACATATCCTTTGTGAAATAAAGAAAGTATTTCTTCTCTTCTTCTTGTTATCTTAGGTGGTGTTTATTTTTACTGTGTAATATATGTAAAATTTTTATGTCTGTGCCGCGCAGATCACGCGCAGACATTAGGCTTCGCAGACCGTTTATTTTTTAGAAAATAGAAGTTCTTCTAACGTCTGCACGTGGTCTACGTGGCACAAACTTGATCTTATGTATGCAGATGTCTTCTAACCTCTTCAAAGAGGTTTTATATTTAATTTTATATTATATTTGATTTTAATTTTAATATTAATTTTTTAAATAAATTAAATATTACTTTTTTAATATTATATTATAGATATTAATTTTAATAATAATTTTTAAATAAATTAAATATTAATTTTTTAATATTATATTATAGATATTTAATTTTATATCATATAAATTATTTTATATATTATTAAAGTTTTATATTTATTTTAATTATTTTGATTTAAGTTTAAATATAATATTTTTTGGATTTGTCATTTTTAAATTATATTTAAACTTTTTATACAAAATGTAAGTATTTAAACCACATTGCTTAATAAAAAATGATTTCATTGTTTGATAATTAAGATTTTAAAATATAAAATATAAAAAATTATAAATTATGTTTTTAAAATTTTAAAATATAATCGCAATTAAATAAAAAATAATCATAAAATAATTTGATAAATTAAAAAATATTTTCTAAAAATTTCATATAATTATAAAAATAAATTATGAATATATATTTAAAAAAATTAAAAGTATTACATAATTGCATAATTAAAAAATCATATAATTAAATGATCATTTATAAATTTTATTCTATAAAACTTATAAACTAATAATACATGTGATTATGTGAGACTTATAATAGAATTAATAAGGTGGTGTTTGTTTTTCTAAAAAAATTATTATTGTAGTTGTATAAATTATTTAAATTTCAGTATTGTAAAACTAAAATTATTTAAATCTCAGTATTGCAAAACTCTTTTAAGTTTAAAAAATCAGTTTATTTATATTTCAGTTTATTTTAGCAGTCTGCAGACGTTAAAAAACAAACAGTCTTCTTCTTGCAGACTGCAGACTTTTGGTCCACCTCTTCTGCTGCAGATGCCTGCAGATATGGTCCGCAGACTACAAACTTTTTACCTCTGCAAAAATAAACACCACCTTAGTTTCTACCTTTCCTTTTTTAGATCCTAATTATGTCTTAATCTTTGGTGAAAATACCCCCATAGGTTCCTCTATTGTAGATTATTGTTTTAAATTAATCTTTTTTATTATCAATTTAATCTCCCTTTTATACTGATTGTTTCAAATTAGTTTATTTATAATTAAATTGATGGATTTGATCTATGTATTAATGAAAAAATATATTAAATAAGACATTTTTAATAGAATTAATATAATTTAATAGAATTATTAATAAAAATTATCATAGATTAGATTGGATTAAATTCTGATTGAACTATCATGACGTCAAGAAACCGAATTATTTTATTAGATTAGCTTTGGAGAATGACTTCAAATGCTTTCTTCTCCAAGTTGATAGCGTTGATTTCTTCAGGATGGTAATTTCCACTTCCCATCCGAGTTTCAATGTTTCAAAATTCCTAATCTATTGGATTGAGCATGCTTTGTTGATTTTAAGCTAACCTGATGAAGTAAATATGATTACAAATTATTTTATGAAACTCGATGAAAAAACCAATGACAACATGTGAATCCTCATTGTTGCTTCTATGAATATTCAAGAATTATTGCAGCGGGACGTGATCGGTCCCTTTTACTTGATTCGACTTGCCTAATATAATCAAGTCAAGGCTTAAGGGTCATTTTTTGCCCATGTAGTAGAATAAATTTATCATTTTCATCTCTATGATATTTTTGTATCAATTTAGCCTTCAAAGTTGTTTAGTTACATTAATATATAACCTACACACTAACTTAACCTAAACCATAAACACTAAACTCTTACTACTAAAACCCAAACCTTAAACCTAGATCCTAACTTAAAACCCTAAACAATAGCAAATATTTTAAACATTGATACAATTAAACAACTTCAAAGGTTAAATTGCTACGGAAATATTATATGAACGAAAATGATAAATTAAATTTATTACAGGAGGAAAGTGACCCTTAAACCTATAATCAATTAAGCTTATTCTCTATTGAAAAAAAATACTTATTATTTAAAAACGACATGATCCATCTCAACCACCACTTGCCTCAAGTAATTTGACAACAATGATGTTATTGGTCTCAATGTTTGCAAATTATATTACCTAATGAGATTCTTACTTAAAGACCTTTGAGAATTTTTAATTAAATTATATTTGAATAGCTTGCAAAATACGAGTGTTCACTATTAAAATGATCAAGAATCTTTTAACATATTATTTTATATTCATCTAAGAATTAAAAAAAAAACAATTGTTTTCGATTAATAGGTCAAGAAACTCATCCAACTATAATAACAATTTTACTTTCCATATATAATTATTTTATCTCAGAATAAATTTAAATCAACAAATTTGTATACCTTTTAACTATATTATTTTGTCCTCAAACTTATTTAGTTGTATTAATCTTTTTTTATGTTGATTAATATAATATTGAAATAATTGTCTATTATGTTAGTGATAATCACATCTGAATGATGATGTTACATATGAGTTTAATTGATCTTTCATCAAATTTAAATTTAGAACTAAATTTATTTTTATAAATATTTTAATTTTTTTATTTAAAAGTTAAATAAATTTTTAAACTTTTAATAAAAAGAACAATAAAATTTCAAATTTTAAGTAGAATTAAAAATACAAATATAAAAAATTAATATTAAAAAATATTTTAAAAATTTTCAATATAATAAAATTGTAAAGAAAAAATAAATATATCTATTATTCTCTCAAAAGTTATTATGTTTTCCATCATAAAAAGTATTCTTAAATTATTCCAAATTTTTGAAATTGTATTACTAAATTTACAAAAAAATCGCCTAATATAAAAAATGTTATTTTCCTGTTTGTTTTTGGAAAAAGAGAATGGTAAATTACACGTTTGATGTCTAAATTATTACTTTTATTTTGTTTTGCTATTTAAAGTTTATTTTTCAAGATCATATCCAACATTTATTTTAAATTTCATTTTGATAACCCACACTTTTTATGCTCTTCGGTCATCTTTCTCAACAGAGATATAATTGTTACGATATCACACCAAACAATAAGAAATCTTATTCACCAATTACATCAAAATGTCACGCTAGCTACCACCTTCAAGTTGAACTTTATCTCGCCACCATCCTCTCTTTGTTCATCTCATCATCGTCTTCACCTCCATGAAAGAATACACCATCCAATCATCTTCATTACAGTCATGGTGCATATGCATATTTGAACTGTTTGACCTTTGTCTAACTCAAGAAGTAGTACAATGATCTAAATTTGGAGTCAAGATTTGTATCTTAACTTGAACTACGATACACTAAGTAATGGGCTTAATTGAGAATATTGGGTCAAGATTTGAATTAATTAAAGGATAAATTAAGCATGAATAATGATACAAATAAGATTTTTGAGCTAAGTGTTGAAGTTGGGGACTTATGGTGTAATTTACCCATTTATGAAAAATATGCAATTGCATCTCGTAGATTGATTAGTCAGAATTGTGAAGATTGCTTGGAATTCAGTATTAGAGGATCAGACAGTTTTTAGATATATTTCTTGAGAAGTTGTAGATTCTTTTATAGATCGAGAATTAGAATTTAAAATCAAGATATCAATTACGTGTGCAACGGTTTTATTTGTTGCGAAGAATCGATGATCTAATAAGATTGACGACTTGTTTGATTAATTGAAAATAATGATATATACATAATTTTATATTATGGGTGAATTTATAAAATTTTAGAGGAAAAAATAATTATCAATAGAAAATATAGAAAAAAACCTAAATTATATGAAGATTTAAAAGTTTCATGGAGTAACTACTTCCACTAACCCCTTGAGTGAATAAAATGCTTTCAAAGGTTGACTTGAGATTAAAGTATTTTTTTTCATTAATTATTTTATATTTAGTGATTAAAATAAAAATAAAACGTGATATTAAATATAATTTTATTAAAAGATTGATTAAAATAAAAAATTTAAAATGAGCAAGATACTAAATAAATAATTTATTATAAAATATTTTACATAAGATTATAACACCATAAAATACACAACTCGAACGCGGACATAAAACGGAATATACCAACAATCCCCCCTCTATAAATATCCTCTCGCATCTTCGTTTTCAATCACTTCTATAGATGTTGAAATATAAAATTCCACCCACGTTTTCCAACTTCAATTTTCAAAGTAAAAGAACAACATTACGACTCGAAGTCTCAACTACAGTCAGATCAAAAGAAAAAATACCCATCAAAGTGCAAAGAAAATAAGCTAAATCTAACCCAGAAAAAACATGTGTTTGGTTTTGTTGTGCGGTAAACAAGAGAGAGAGTTGGGACGGGGACGGGTGCAAGCGCCTGGGTTTTGCCCGCACTGCGGCGGCAAAGTGGAGGCCGTCGATGTCGAGAGCAGATGGAGGTTATGTTTCTTGCCCGTTTGCTTCAATATCAACAGAAAATATTACTGCATCTTGTGTGCCAGGCGTTTGGTGTTGTATTGCTAGCTAGTTCCATCCAGATTTTGCTCTTCTCCTTTCTTTTATTTGTTTATTTATTTACTTCTGATTTTGCTAATTGTAAATGCTTTTCTCCCCTGTATAAATGAACCTTTTCTTTCTGTTTTGTTCTTTAAAGCTTTTCCACGAGGAAAGAGAGAACATTTAGATCTGAGATTCCAGTTTCTCCAGAATATACATATGGTTTTAAACACAAGCTACATTGATTTTCTGGGTTTAGTTTGATAAAGTGACTACATTGAATGCTTTGAAAGTGTGAGGACTCCTTTTAGATATTAACAACAATTTTCTATTTGTTCGTAGCAAGTTAATGGGAAAGTGAGAAATACAGTTCAAGAAGTGTGTTTGAATTTTGTGTGTTTATTCTACGAAAAAAAAAACACATTATCTTTAATGTGTTTGATGGAAAATTTTAAAAATAATTCTTGAACAATTAAAATATATGGAAGTAGGAGAAAATATTTTATTGTTTTTTTTATTAATCTGAAGTAAATTCAAGATAGTATTTGTTCAAAGAACACTCTCACTCATTGACATTGAACACTCAAACTATTAGCATTCAAGATGCTCGATGCCGGAACTCCAAAGAATAACAATAATTCTTTTACCACCGAGGTTATTTGGTTCATGCAATATTTCATTCGCTTTCGTTATATATATTCTAAAAATTTGATATAAAAAAAGGTTGGTTGCCTTCTCGGTTCTAAGCCTTCATCCTGGTTATTTCAGATCGAATCGCATTGTATACCTGATTTTGGCGAGTGAGTCTCCGAACAAGAATTTTTTATATACGTATATACCTCGAACTCGAGACCAACTTAAACAATATCCATCTATCTACTACTTAAACCAACCCTCATTACTAAATTTTGATAGAATTTAAAACATTTTTTTAACTTTAAATATAAAGTTGATTTATATAAACATAAAAAAATTTAGAGTTTATTGCATCATATGTCCCCCAACTATAATCATCATGTTAAATCGGTCCTTAAACTTTTAGATATTTTAATTCCATCCTTGAACTATGAATCTCATTCTAAATTAGTCCTTAAACTTTTAAACATTCTAATTTCATCCCTAAACTATGATACTCTTTCTAAATTGATCCCCAAAATTTTGAATATTCCAATTTCATCCCCAAATTCATCCAAAAATGTAATTAGTTTCAACCATGGTGTAACCTAAATTTTTTTTTTGAAACATATAATAATATAACTTGATCTAACGGTTTTATTAACAAGGGATGTGCTAGTTTATACGTATAGTTTGGGATGAAATTGGAATGTTCAAAAAGTTTGGGGACCAATTTAGAATGTATGTCATAGTTTGGGGATTAAAATAAAATGTTCAAAAGTTTGAGTACTAATTTAGAATGTATGTCATAGTTTAGGGATGAAATTGGAACATTTAAAAATGTAGGGACCAATTTAAAACAAAGGTCATACTTTGAGGACATATGATGTAAGTAACTCTTATTTTTAACTAGAGTTATTTTATATTTTGTTCTCCTTAACATTGTCTTAGATATCTAATTGACTCCTACTTCTTAGATTATTTTGATCCTTGAACTTTATCTTAAATACTTAATTGGTACTTAAATTTAAAAATTATCAAATACTTTGATGGCAGATAAGTTTCTTTTGATTAATAAATTTGTGGAACCGACGTTTTAGTTTTCGGGAAATTTGTATTTAAATGGATAAATAAAAAAAATTACAATAATATTAAAATTAATCATTATAAATCATAAAAGAACAAATTAATAATTATATATAGTGTGCCTTCAATGATGAAAGAAAATATTAATTTTTCTAAAGAATTCAAATTTTAGCAGCTGTATTTTCAGAATGTATATGAGTTGTTAATATATTAAAAATATCTAAAAAAATACTGCAATTTTATGGGACTGCATATTACTTAAAATTCAACACCCAAATTCTAGGCTTGACATTTATTAACAAACTAAGGCATATGTGCATTATTATCCAAATTCACACATATTTATGAACTGTTAAATTAAACTCATTTTCGGTGTGTCCATATTACTTTTTTATTAAAAAAATATTTTTTTTATTTTAATATTTTTTTATATAATCTTCCCTTTTTTTGGTTGCCCTCCTTTTTACTCATTTATATACGAAGAATTTGATAATTTTTTTATGTACATATTATAATAATATAAATTTGTTTTATAAAAATCAAATAGTATGTTACATTAAAACTTAATCAATAAAGTCGATTCTAATTCAGACCTCTAATATTAAAGTCTAAAACCGGTCTATATTTTAAACGAGACTATTTTTTTTTATCGAAATTGATTATTTAATTTAATATTTTAATTTAAATATTTTCAAATTTATATGAACATTGAAATTAAATAGATATCTCAACTATAAATCTAGATAGATCATAGATGTGTGTGTGAATAGGATACTTTTCCTTTTCACTCTGCGGTTGTTTTCTCAAATTTAATAAAAGTCTATTTTCTTTTCATTAAAATAAAGGAACATGGTGACGGTTAATTTAATGGAGAAAGTAGTCCAAGGACAACAGGGAAATTGAGTGCGGTAAATTGCTTATAAGATTGAGACATTTGGGACACATTTCATAAAGTGTCAATGATGCATACTAACTTATGTACATATTTTCCTTTCCATTAGTGTTTGGTGGGAAATTGTGAAATAAATGAAAACCTAAACAACATATATATTTTCCCATTATTATTTACAGTTTTTATGTTCAACTTAAATATACAATGAATATGATCGAATTTAGTTATATTTATGAATGGATTGAAGGGACAGCTAAAAACAACTATTCCGTTTTAAATTTCAAATTATCATATATTTCAGTTTTTTTATATTTTTTTATTAATAATCTATTTTATCCACTAAAATTTTAAAAAAATCAATCACTTTTAAAATTTTAGAAGTTCGCCCCCCTAACATGAAATATTGAATTCGTCTCCGCTTATGTTAATATTATCATTAATATAATATATGTTGATTTTACATCAAGCGTCTTAGTAAATGATTTAAACAAAATAGATAATTATGAGGATGATGTGTAATGAGTGTATCATGAGCTTGAGTGAGAGAGAATGTCAAGGCGTGAGAGATATTAATCTTATATATTAGAAAGGAATATCATCGTTTTTTTAAAATGGCTTTACATATCTTATCAGATATATTTTTTTAGAGAAATATAATAATCTCAAAATAAATGAGGTGAAATAATTATATTTACACGTTTAATGTGATTTTGATTTATATGTGAGGGATAGATATTGATATATAAGTACGAACTAAATTATTTCGATAGTTAAAGAAATTATTATTATGTTTAGTGATTTTAAGTTTAAATACCAGGGACCAAAATAAATTTGAGCTTTCCCTTTCGTCCTACCAGTGGCAGTAGGCAGCTACGGGGACGAGTGACGATGACAAATGGTGGCATATACAACGATATAACCGAGAGATGTCCAGTTTCGTGCAGAGATAAAGTTTTCCAGAATGGACGAAATTGCCCGATTAATGAAAGTCACTGCAGCAGCTTTAGGCACAAAAAAGTAAGTGCAATTACGTAGCCCATTGAAGGCAAACTCGCCGTTGGATCCCCCTCCTACTGCATTTAAGGTGCCCACCCACATTGTGCTCTCAACCAGCCTTATCGCTTAATATGTTTTTTTCTCCTTTTTTAGAGCATGCCCCAACCCAATAATCCGTTTGAAATTTTGTTGAATTCAGAATGACTTTAAATTTAACAAAAATTAAATTTGAAAAGTCTAAAAATATTAAATTATAATTGAAAAGACATGACTATAATTATATGATTTTATTTGAAAAATAATATATACGTATAAATAAATATATATATATATATATATATCCATATATTAATATTTAAATTAGATTTCACGATACATGTAATATCTAAAGTTTTTTTTTAATTTAATTTGATGTTTGAATTTAATTTTATGGTTCGAATTGATACATAAATTTAATTTCATAGTTGAAATAAATTATCTATAATGAGTACTAATTTTTCGTTATAATCATAAGTATTAATTTAGAGCAAAGAGTCAAGTTCATATATCAATATGAACTAAGAATTCAAATTTAAATATTAAACTGGTTTAAAATATATTAGGTACCTAATTAAATTAAGAAATCAAATTTATGCACCTAACTGAAAATGAAAATTTAAGTATTGTTTGGATTTTGAAGTCAGATTTAAGTATCAAAAAATATCATCATCCAATTTATTGGCAGTGCATGAATTTATAGACTAGCAATACATCAAATGTTTATAAAAGAAATACTTATTATTTTAGGATTATAATTTTCATGCTTAAGACCTATTTTAGGTCTTGTATTATGATGAAATTCTAACTTTGCTTCTTCTATTATTATTTTTCCTATTTGGTTCATATTTGCCCTATTTATTGAAGTATTTGACATAAAATCAAACAATTAAAAGGATTAATTTAATATTTTTATCATAATATTATTAATTTTTTTGAATAAAAATGTTTAATAAAACATACAACATCATTTTTTTCTAATGTAAAATTAATATTTCTCACCTTGTGAGGTATGATATTAACATACCCACATGAATGGGCTATCTGAAAGAGATAACCAAAATCTGTGAGGCCCGACGTAGGGAAAGAAACGGGTCTTTCTAAACTGTATTTCGGCTACTGAGCCCATACCATTAGGTTCAAGAAATTAATTTTAAAGCAAAAAGGGGTAAAGTACACAAAAAGTCCCCCGACTATAAGGTATTGTTTTGTTGAGTCTTTTGACTAATTAAAAGTGGCAAAATAATCCTCCAACTATGAGACATTACTTTGTTGAAATGATTATCAAAAGTTACAAAATAATCATTCGACTATTCATATGTTCCAAACTCGTCATTTTTCATTAAAAATTTGACGACCATCTGAGCTAGACGTTAACATGTTCACTGATATGTAATAAAATATGATCACAAAATCATTTAAGTTGTATTTTGTGGATCGA